TGCATAACTTGTTACGTGTTTTATATATAGGCCAAACATGTGTCAGATTTGTTGGGGCAGCTGTTACAGGTAGCAGGGCAAATTATTGGGGCAACTGTGTATTTTTAGAAGATTCCATGAAGCTGCAGGAATATGGAAGAATAGTGTAGAATAATATAGAATACTCTAGAATAGGCCAAAGTAGACCAAAGGATGGGGCTTCCAAAAGCTATATAAGGACCCCTAATCCACCCCCAAAATACAAGCAACTTTGAGAGCAAGAGTCTCGTCTGTGTGTGCCCAGGTAGAAAGTGCAATCAGGCGCTTTCTTCAGTATAAGGTAGTAAGGCTTGGCAAATAGGTGCCAGCTTATACCTTAGGTTTGTTTTCTGTTATTCAAGGTGTTGCAGGTAGACAATCAGGTCTATCTTTTGAAGTAACATCTTCTGTGTTAGTGCTTACTCTTGTACCACCCGTCTTTGTTTAGGTGTTAACAACTCAGTGCTGCCTTTTAGATATCTCTCCTGTGCTAGCAGTCTTATACAAGTGAGACGGCTACCCCTTACGCGAATACGTGTCTTCCCTTATTCCCTGCCTACACAACTTATTCTAGTGGTCTTCCCCTCCTCAACGAACACCCGAGGCAGAAGTTGATCTTACGTCTGATCCACCTAACTCGGATAAAAGTGCGGTTGTTTTTAAGTGGCTAGTTCCACGCTCATTCAAGTGCGTCTCGCCTACCGTTTTTCCCCGCCCTTTTACACCACGATAACGGTCGTAAAAGTACAGTATTGCTATGTCGATACTTCTTTGTTGTTGTTCTCACGCGTGTTCTTGGAACTCAGCCGCTGCAGAAATGTCATATAGAGACTTCAGCCTGATCTGTACGCCATTCTGAACGTGAGCACTTGTAACAAATGCAATGTCTTCATTTAAAAGTGCAAGTTTCTGTATGTGTTTTGTGCCAATACAAATGATGCCGATTTGGTTCACAGCCCTCCGTCCATGCGGCACCACCCTATCGCTGTTTACAGCTACTAACAAAACAATAGACCACCTACTGTTAATGTTCACCTCACAGCTTTGTTTACTTCTAGAGCAGAACAAACAAAGAATCGAGATCTTGGAGTCTTCGTGCCTAATTGAGCACACTGTGGTGAGCAAAAGGATATTCGCTGCAGTGGACACCTGCAGCAAAAAGGGACACTTACGAAAGCCAACAACTATCTTATTGTAACTAGAACGGCTTGGAGGTGTAAGACAAGCTTGCTAGAAGAGATGAGCAAGAGGTGATCGGACAGCGGTCAAATGACCAGGCTCAACAGCGTGGGAACTCAATAAAGTTCCTGCATTTCTCTCTGAGAACCTCTTTTTTTTCCGATTGTTTATAAAGGCCTGTAGAACTACTGCTACATGAGGCCCAGTGAATATCACATCTACTCAGGTTGACTCAAATCTACTGTGCTCGACTTGGTAGACCACGGTAGGTGTATTGGACTGTGAGGCACCCCCATCTACACAATTTTCTCTTCTTCATAAATTGTGATACACCCAGATATACTGCTATCTATGGTTACACACCCAGGTTGCCTCTCCTCTGCATCTCATACAGTAGCACATCACATACCCATAAATACCCCCATCCACGCAGCTCTCTTCACCTCGCCACTCATATCTGCATGGTGATTTCCAGCTAGTTAGCGCGAGACAATGTGAATGCGAATAGACCTACCATTTCTGACTTTATGCCGTGCTCGCCACTGTCTGATTCAGCTGACACTTCTGCACTGCTGTTAGTATGCCAAGTAACTCTCCTATAAATCCGTACACTCACTGCCTTAGCTGCAAGATTATTGAACTTCTATGAACACATCCATAATGAATCGGGAACTGCTATCATCCACAGATATCATATAATGCACCCTTTTCTCTCCCTTGGTGAAGCCCTTCCAATAGGCCTCGAAGGTGGCCAAGTCCTCTTGGCAGTCAGAATGCTCGGCCTTCCAAGTGTCGCGACAGTAAGTCCTGTCAGTGGGATTTTGACAGGGTTAACAAGCTGACATCCACATGGTGAAACAATGTACTTACTTTCATGCGAGGGATAGCGGCAGTGGCACCAATATGGCTCGCGCCTCGATGTAGCAGTCAAACTCCATGGAGTTGGCATCATTCAAGATGAGCTGCGTGACTGCGCCAAAGGTGACTGAGTGTGGAATATTTTAGAACGAGCCATTCGGCATGTAGATCACAAAGAGCTGCAACTTCTCCTTCTCTCCTGTCTCGTTCTCAAGCTCGATAGTGACGCTTTCCAGCTGTAGCCGCTTGTGCTGAATGTCGTTGGCGCCAGTGACGTCTAACCTATGAATCCCGGGTCCATCTGTGCAACGTTCTTTTCATCCTCTGCCAGAACAGGCAGCATGTCGGTGAGGTTCACGTGGGTTGGGAGGACCTTCACCTTGGGGGCCGCAGCACCCAGCAAAGCCTACGGCGTGCTCAGCACAGGTACAATGTGGAAAAAGGCGGTCTGCGCACCTTGGAGCCCCTCTTTGCACTCTTTGCAGGAGCCTTGCCATTCGCTGGCATGTCGTGCAAAGCTTGGCTTCAGCAGCAGCGTGTTTCTGACCGCCTGACCCTTGTCTGTCAGCACGGTTTCCATCCTAGCACGCAAGAGCAACTCACGAGGAGGTATGTCGAGGTGTGTAGGTTGGACGTAGAGGTGACAGATGTCAGGATACGAGCATGAAACAAACCTTAATCACAGCGCTCCACTTGGCCCTTGTATGCAATTTCCAAATTCCACCGTGGGCTTGACAGGTCTCGGCAGTTTTCAGGACAATGTCATTTTACAGGTGGAAGATGATACAACCTGCAGGCTGGCCACCGATGGTGATGTCAAAGTAAGTCAATGAGCAGGACTTGGACATGTTGGATACGCAGCTCCTCTGGCATGAGATGTCGGCTCATTTTACTTTAAAGCTAAATAAAAGACGGCAAACGAGAAGTTGCGAGAATGGGAAGTTGGCGTGGATGACGCAACTTCTCCTACATTCGATGAGCTCGATGTCGTGGCCTGTTCATGATCATCTTTGATTTCACTGATGCTTTGCCGAAGAAGGGGCGTGGGCTGGAGGGAGCGGTGTTGTGGACGGAGATATAGCAGCCTGGCACACATACGCGCGAGGGAAATGTTGGAAGTGCTGAAGGACACTCACTGTCCCAAGAGCACACAAGTGTCCTAGAGAGACGCAGACTGAGATGACAGAAAAATATAATCGCGGGGAGAGAGTAGATACAAGTACATGGTCAAAGAAAAGAAGACAGCGAGAAGAGAAAACTAAGACGGGAGGGCGAAGAGGGTAGGTATCGGTAACCTCCGGCCGCCGCCCGTATACCTTGGTAGGTCTGAGTCGAGCCGGGTAGGTGGGATTCTCACTGGGCATGAGGGCCTGTCTCTGAGAACCTCAGGCATTGTAAAAGAGTCGAAAATCAGAGGTTAGAGCACAAAAATGAGCACATGTAACTTGGGATGAGGGAGCACGCTCGCTGCCGTTTTTCGGGGTCCGAGGTCACGTTGACACGAAATCTCGATTCTATTTGTTCCACTCCAAAAATAAACAAAGCTATGAGGCGAACATTAACAATAGGCGGTCTATTGTTTTGTTAGTAGCTGTAAACCCGTCCTGCCTTTGCTGTTGTCGCCGTTGCACTCATTATGGTTGGTGAAATCTAGTTTGAAGCCAGATACGCGCGTGGGTTCGAAGAGCGCGTCAACATTCACAGTTTCACACTCAGCATCCTGTCTACTTACCGCGCGTCACGAGAACTTTGACATATGGGGCTTCGCGCTTCATTGATCGAGCACGATCGTGACGCGAGCGTAGGCATGCGCCGTGACAGGGACGTCTTCCCCAACAACGGAACCGTGCCAGCGCGACTTACTTGCCAAGTACGTGACCACACGCTCTATTTTGCGTTGTATAATGCTGGTTGAGACCCAGTACTTAAAGCATATATTGATTCTGGAGCGAATAGAAGAATTGACTACGATGGGTGTGCATTGCCGCACCGACATAGGGAGCCAGTTGTACCAGTCAGCAATAGTCACTTCTTCATATTCATCTTCGCTAATGCTTTACTACTCCTTACCCGCTTCTTGCTCTTACTGCTCTCCGCGGCGCCGCTCTTGTCCATTGGCCGCTTGCGTTCCCGCACACGTTCCTTCGTGCTCTCGCGCGCCTTCACGCCGTGGTCTGCGAGCGCCTTCGCCTTCTTCTTCGCCAACCTGCGCGCGACGCGGTCTGCGTCCGTCGCCTTGAGCTTCTTGCGCTCCTCTTTCGATAGGCCTGCAAGTTTCGCGCCGAGACTTGGGTCGCCCTTTGGCACCGGTGCGGGCGCGGCGGGAAGTGAGCGCGTCTGGCTTGTGCCCTTAGTCTGAACAACAGTCTTTGTCTGGGCAGAGGGCCTAGCGGGTGCCACCTTTGAGGCGCCGGGCAGTGTCTTGCAACGTTGTACGCGCAGCTTGCGCTTTGCGAATTTTAGGCGGTCTTGCTCTAATGCGAGAATCTCGTCGACGCATTCACGATCCTGCATAGCGTGCTGAGCACCGACAAAACGAGTGAGCGCTAGGAGTACATACCATGAACTGAACATAGCCAAAGCCCTTGCCGAGAAGGGTATCCTTGTCGCGGATGAGTCGCACGCGCTTCACCCACGCCTTCTCGTCGCTCCTCTCCGCATCCTCTGCCTGTATCTCGGTAGGCTCGCCCCTCTCAGTCACCACCAAGCCCTCAAAGAACACTCGGACATCCTCTTCCTTCGCCGCAAAGTCGAGATTGCCAACAAAAATGGTCGCTTTCGGGTCGTCTGGCGACTCTGCGTTAACGATCTCCCTCGCCTTGCCCTTGCCCTTCGCTGCCAAATCCAGGCGTAAAGTCCGGTCCATGAACACCGAACCGTCAGCGGCTCTGATGGCGGCCTTCGCAGCCTCGTACGGATCCATGATGGGTTTCAGCGGAGGAAGGTTCTTCGGTCTGCTCTCCGCAGGGACAGGATGTGCGAAGACGATGTAGGCGTTCACGGAGTCCACACCAGAGTGAATCTCCTGCTTGATGAACGCAATGCGCTTTTTCTCCTTGGGTGTGAGGAAGGTCTTTGCCGGCGCAGCTTCCTCGTCGTCGTCCTTCCCCTTAGAGGCCCGCCATGACGCGGCACGGTCACGGTCGTGCTGCCTGCCTTCCTTGGACATCGATTTGGATGATGGGTTATCAGCAGGAAGCTCGGTCGTGGGCTTTTGGAAGGCGACAGAGCGGAAGCGGATAGACTCGATCTTTGCATCCGGGACGAAAGAGAGGATATACCGGCTGAACTGTTTCTGCATTGGCTACAAGTTGCACAACGTTGAGCAGCATACATGGTACAAAGAGTGTGGCGTACCTTGCTTTTTACAATGTCCATAAGGACATTCCCGACGAATACCGTCCGCGCATCTCGCTGCTCAGACGTCTCTTCCGGAGGCACGTATTTTATCTTCCCGGAGATGGTCTTGGATTTCCCGCCGACTGTCACTGATTCGTGAACGAGACTCGTCGAATAATCTTCCTGTTCGGGGTCAGAGCCGTCTGATTCATTCTCTGGACGTCCGTCAGGCCCTTGATCTTCCGCATCTTCGTCTCCCGAGGTACTTTCTTCTGCTCGCGGCTCCGCTGACGGCTGTTTCTTGGGAGCGTCGATCGTGGCTTTGCTAGAGGACGCTTTGGGTTGTGATTTAGCCTCTGCAGGGGCTGCAGATACGGTCGTGACTACAGTACGTTACTGTAAAGGACAACCCCATACCTGCGCCGCCAACGAGTGCTCTCCTCGACTTTTTCGCCTTGGCGGGAGATTGCCGCTCTGAGGCCGATTTCCGCTTCTTGTCTGCTCTAATCTCAACATCTTGGGGCGTCCCAGCTGGTGCTGGTGTAGCAGGCTTCTGCTTGGTCAGCTTGGGAGCTACTGCCTTCAAACAATGCGATTAGTTGCTGTTTTCACGCTGCCCATAGGAGATGACTCACTGTTGACTTAAAGAGGTCATCGAGACCTTTGTCTATGGCCTTCCCTCGATCTTTCGTAGCATCCGACTTGAGAAGAAATGACGATAAGCTCATTTTGCACGAGAGGTGTCAGGAGAGCGAGGCATTCCCAGATAACTTTCCGGATCTCAGATCCTATTGATCACGATCACAATTACAATCACAATGAGGGTTAGGGTTACTGCTAGAGATGCCGCGGTTGCGAAGTGTTCTGACCCTTCTCCTCCTTATCCACAAGTCTTGCCTCCGCACACCATCCAGGAAGGTGTGTAGATGCTGGCCTCACGAAGCGATAAACCGTTGGCGGTAAGATTTTATCGCCCCTTAGTACTAGTGCGCTGAAGCTCCCTCTTCATCTCGGCAGATGCGTCTCGACTGGGACATTCTCGTCGAGATCATGTCCGTTCTCAGTCGTGCGGACGCAAGCCGTATGTCGCGTACATGCCGGGTCTTGCTACACGCTGCCCCACCCACTCTGCTGAAAGGCCAAGTGGTGCTATGGTCGATGACGTATCTGCTCTCATTCCATCAGTTCATGTTCCGGGACAAGCACAAGTGCTTTCATCATCTCCGCGTCCTGATCCTAAAAGACGCAATCCACCACATAACCGGGGCAGGCGATCTACTAGTTGACATATTCACGCATTCCACGGACCTCGAACGCCTAAAAGTCTTTACTAGCGAGTTGATAGATGCAGATGATCGTATTCCTCCTGCACTGTCCGCTTTAAAGCAGCTCCATACCATCGAACTCTTCAGCATAACTGAACACACAATCGATATGCTCAAGCAGATTCAAGCTCCCCTTACCACGGCCAGAGTCTCTCTTGGTCGCCTTATCGGGCCTGGTGGGCGGGCGGGCATAGATCCCATCTCGATCTTCGCCCGTTTCAAGGACTATCTGCGAGTTGTGGACGTCATTCATGCGGAGTTCGCTAGTGCGGGATTCCGGTATTCGCGCGTTGATACCCTCAGCGTCATATACATCAATAACGAGCTGAGACCCCTTTTGCACTGCTTCCCTAACCTCAAGAATCGTCAACTACTTCCCATGCCGAGTCTACGATGGAGACCATTGAACGATCGACACGTAGAGGAGCAGCGCCGCTTCAACATGACTTCGCCTACTTCATGGTCGTCTTTCAATCGCCTCATAGGTGACATGGAAATCCTATACATGCTTGCCCTGCGATGCAAAGTGGATCAACTGTGCTTATCAGAAATTTCCATTTTCTCAGCTAGAGCCGTTCGCAGACTGATTACTCTTCTCAATGATGTCCGTCCTACTTGGCTTACTCTCCAGGTCGTGATCCCTATGGCGCATGGAGTTGATCTGCTAGTTCTGGGCCGCTGCCCAACTGCCGCAAGAGAATCAATGACTAGGATACTACTACGCCTAGACCTTCATCGGCCGCGGTATGAAGACCCTGGTCCGCAGATTGTAAGCGTCGATTTGTGTCGATTTTCGCTGAAATGAGCTGACAGTGTGCCGCCAAAGTGTCTCATTCTCAGCACATTTTTCTGTCTCTCTATCAACAGTTTATATCTCAGTTGACACCGGAATTTTCATGATAGCGTAGGGACGGATCCGCGATCGGGCTCTCGTGAGCTACCAGTCGAAGACATTGATGTCCATGCGATCGCGGAAAACGCCATGCGCTACATACCGACCATCCAGCGTGTCGGAATCAACATCGGCCAAAAGCCGTACATGTACGAGGTTCAGCAAAAGGAGGAGCAACATAATTTGAGGAGTCTGGTCGCATTACCATCGGATATGGCGGTGAACGCCGAATTTGCTCTCTACCAGGGGACATGGTGATACGAATGAGATGTGTTCTATGCGTCACATCTCATGCTCTGTCTCTCGACCAAAAACTGAACCGTCTTCCTCTGCCATAGTGTACGAATGTCTGCTTCTCTCTGGCTCGCCGATTCTGCGATTATATTCTCAACGTAAAATTACCCCACTACGACCCAAAGCTAAGACTATGATAGCCCACGCGTTGCGCAATGTCGGACAGTCATTCAATAGGACCCTCAGGTTTCCTACATGGAAGACATGCCATTTCAATTGCATCAGCACATGTGGTTGCTAACCTTCCAGTTCTGTCAGTAACTTTACTCTCACCTGTGGCGCTTGTGATGCCGCCGTTTCGCCGTGGAAATAAATCCTCATGTTACGATGACCCGGAGAAAGATCTCAGTAGCCCTACCATAACTTAACAGGCCATCTAGAGATAGAAAAAGACTACTCTCAAGCCAACGTGGATTATTGAGAAGATGTGGACCGGTATCCTAAGGTACTACAGAACTTTAAGCATCCACTGGCCTAAGCGGGAGGCATCAGCAAAATAATCGGTGGCAGGTCAGAGATGGGTTACCAGGCAAGCGCCTAACAGCATGGTGGGCGCTGGCAATGCAAGAACAGGGGATACCAGGCTGATATCGCACTGCAGTTTCAACACGGACCGATATGTCATTGTAAGTCATTTCCCATCCTGTTTTAACTAGACATGACGCGGCCAGCCCACCCAGATCTCCGCTGTGACGTGACGTCATGCGTGCTGCCTTTCGAGAGGTGCTGCTGACCATCACATCTATGTTGACTGGCCAAACGAACAACAAAGTCTCCTTCGACCTCCCCTAAAGTTGCTCTGGTGAGTTTCCTTTTATGTCTTCGTCCATATAAGGCCGTCGAAGGCCATCCGCTTTCCATGCTCCTTCCTTCTGCCCACCACCATGCCCCCGCTCAATAGACAGCCACCCCCGGATGCCATGATCCTCTGAGATCCTTATCCCCACTTCTACTTTCCCTTCGCTCAACAGTGACTCCACTCCATGCTCACTCAGCGCAGTACGTCCCAAGGTGCGTGAGCGGTAATTTCTCTCGCGTTAGCACTGCAGTTGACTACTCATATGCACAGCAGCCGCAGCACCAACTTCCACCTGTCTGCACGGCTATGCAAGAGTCCTGTAATACGGGAGAACAGCGCGAATACACAAGGTCCGTTGATACTGTCCTACCTAAAGCATGCCTCAGACTCAGGCTCTTTTCGTCACTCGCAGACCTTCGCATATGGTACGTGACATGCATATATGCGCTCGATTGCTTATAACTGACATGCATAGGCCTTTGTAAGACATCCTCGCTCACTCAGCAAGCTAAACCTATTTGTATTGTACTTCTACCCTATGGTTTCACTCGCATACTAACGCCATTCTTAGTAGCTGTATATGGCCCACTCTCTCGTGCTCCGGGACCCACACAAAGCCCTCGCAGTAAGCATAGCAGTCTGCAGGTAGTTTCGTACATGAAAACTTATGCACACGACTCATTCAGGGTTCGCTTTATGCACGCTGTGCGCCAACTGTGTAGCCGTTGCGCCGGGAGCCGCTTGTTGGCTGATATCATGTTTGCATGCGATGCGACTCGGAGGGCATTCTCGTCTCGATACTGCCATTTTATGCAATACATATACTTTGTATTCTATAAACCTCCATGAATATATTTCTCGCCGCTCCTAATTTCGATGTGCAAATCAGTCCCGAATATTTTTGAATATACAACGAATTGTTGCGAGCGCTCAGGCAAGCGCCGCCAGCCTGGCGCTCCCTGGTAATGCATTACCAACCTTACCCGAATGGTAAAGGTCCTCAGACTGGTAAGCTTTAGTTATCATACAGGTGAGATATCTACCTTGGCAAGCCTATTCTCATAATGATTACCTTTATAAGTGAGATTAGCTTTGCCAGGGCTGTTCAGGCTAGGTAAGTTGCCGATTTTTTTGCTGATGGGTCATCCTTATGACACGTACCTGGAAGCACTGAGTCAACATATGTGGAAGTAGTGATGTGCGGGCCGGGCCTCAAAGCCCGCGAGCCTGCCAAGCCCGGCCCAAAAAGCCTGACCCGAGCTAAGCCTGGCAGCGGGCTCAACGCCGGGCTCGGAGCGTAGTCAAGCCCAAGCCTGGCCCGAAAGCCCAGGCTTGGGTGCACCAAATGTGTTGCCGTTCCCTGGGCTCAAAACATGGTAAGAACGACTTTATATACACATACGAGATGGGACATTGACTTACCAGACTGGGCAGTCCCTGCTAGTGTGACTAGGCGCAGTTGTGCGCCATCGCCTGGCGTTCGCCGTAGGCGCCCCTTCGCGAACCTCGTCATAACATGGCTTGTAGCGCGGTCGCATGCCCTCTGGAGGCTGCAGTATGGTGGGTACATGCAATAGCAGCCTATCACATACAAATATGCTCACGTTTGTAGCATATAAATACTTGTCCTAAGCTTTGCAAGCCCGGGCTTAAGCCCACGGCTTGGGCCGGGCTCAGGCTCAGCTCGGGCTCAGGGCTCGGCTTGGCGTCGCCACAAGCCCAAGCCGGGCCCACACATCACTACGCAGAAGGTGAGTACATTATTACTGTCTTCTCCGGTATACATCTGGGGCATTGACGCTCCGCTTACTCATGAGATGCCAGTGGCACATTCACAGCTACCTATGACTCATGAAACCCTTCACTGGATAAATGGTTGTGGCCGACATTCTCCCGCGTCCATTGCCTCATGTTGTGGAGCCTATTGAGGGTTGCCATAGAACATATATTCTATCCCGAGGGATCTCAAGGTGCCCGCAATGTCTGCTCAATAAATAGTGTTCAATGCTGTAAAATATACATACATCAGGAAACAGGACTTGGGCCCATAGTGCTCCAAAATGCTCCTGTAGCACTCTGTAGCATTGTGGACCTAAGTCTTTTTCCTGATGTAGTATGATAGTCTATATATGTGCTAGATAACACTACAGGCAATTCTAATTTCTTCAGACACCTTCAGACATTTTGATGTACCTAAGACACCTTGGCTTACACAAGACACTGCCCAATTCGTGTCGTACTGACAAGCAGAGAAGATGCACATGACATCATACATCAGTGTCGTGTTTGTCACAACCCATCATGGGCTCTGAATGGACACGTCCGTGTGTGGTTCACAATGCACATGCCACTCCAAGTACTCATGCACTCATGCTTTGCGAGTCTTTCGCTAATAAGTCTAAGGAAAGCGAGCGCGCACACTTTTTGCTAGGCAATCTTCATCAAATCCGTGGTGCGTGGGGTAGTAGCACGTCTGCGGTGTGGATGTGGGCGGTATCGTGCATCAAAATGGTTTGACACAGAATATGATACATACCAGATCAGTTTCTATGTGTCAGCTATTCTCACACATGGCAACAGTGTCTTGGAACATATGACAACAGGCTGATACATCTGGGGACTACTAGAAACATGCAATAAACTTGTTACATGTTTTATGTATAGGCCAAACATGTGTCAGATTTGTTGGGGCAGCTGTTGCAGGTAGCAGGGCAAATCATTGGGGCAACTGTGTAATTTTAGGAGATTCCATGAAGCTGCAGGAATATGGAAGAATAGTGTAGAATAATATAGAATACTCTAGAATAGGCCAAAGTAGACCAAAGGATGGGGCTTCCAAAAGCTATATAAGGACCCCTAATCCACCCCCAAAATACAAGCAACTTTGAGAGCAAGAGTCTCGTCTGTGTGCCCAGGTAGAAAGTGCAATCAGGCGTTTTCTTCAGTATAAGGTAGTAAGGCTTGGCAAATTGGTGCCAGCTTATACCTTAGGTTTGTTTCTGTTATTCGAGGTGTTGCAGGTAGACAATCAGGTCTATCTTTTGAAGTAACATCTTCTGTGTTAGTGCTTACTCTTGTACCACCTGTCTTTGTCTAGGTGTCAATAACTCAGTGCTGCCTTTTAGATATCTCTCCTGCGCTAGCAGTCTTATACAAGTGAGATGGCTACCCCTTACGCGATTACGTGTCTTCCCTTATCTCCTGCCTACACAACTTATTCTAGTGGTCTTCCCCTCCTCAATGAACACCCGAGGCAGAAGTTGATCTTACGTCTAATCCACCTAACTCAGATAAAGTGCAGTTGTTTTTAAGTGGCTAGTTCCACGCTTATTCAAGTGTGTCTTGCCTACCGTCTTTCACCGCCCTTTTGCACCACGATAGCAGTTGGTAGAGATGGGGGGCTGTCGAGGAAGCAACTTACAATGCCGCTTCAGCTGAGCGCCGAGGTCGTGTTGTATAGATGGCCATCAGCTCTTTTCTGCTACACTCCGGAACACCACTAGCTTCTCGGGCTGAGTCTCCAGAGGTCAGGACGGCTAAATTGAGAGCAAGAACAATGAACTCTCGACCCTCAGGCCTTAGCAGCAGTAATCCTTGAGGAATAAGTCACGAAACGTGAATCCTATGCTTATTATCTACCCGAACCACCGCCGATTCGTTCAGTACGCCTCAGACTGGTCTGGAAGACAAGGATAAGCTTCCATCTGGAGCATGTTATTTCCACGCCTCCCCATTACCCTTACCACGCCCAGCTTCATAGTCGCTCCGGTAAATCGATATCTCAAGGAGTATTTCAATATTACTGATTGTCCCAGATGGCAGAGAAACGATGCGATCCCCTGGCGAGACCGCCACTTCCGCCGCATCCTATGTTCACTCCGACACTGTCAGTTGAATCTGGGATCAGCTCCCTGGCGCTGCTTCTTTTCTGCGCAAATTGGAGCTGGATTTTCCCCGGCAACATGTAAACTAGATCCATGGAGAGACAAGGTTTCAGATTAGGGGTGTTCAAAGTTCGCGCGCAAAACCGATTCACGGCCGCTTCAAGAGTCGTTTCGAACGAAGTGAAACGCGACTGAAGCGCGCGTAGACTTTGAACACCCCCGATCACGAGGGAGTAAAATCGAAGTGCTGGCGGTGCGAGGGACACATCCGCCTCATTCCTAACGGTCTATATACACTCCATTATACTTGTAGCGGGGCTCCTGCATGCTCTCAGGGAGCGAAGATGCCTCCAAAAAATTACCTGTTGGTATGCACCATGGGGCGGCCGAGAAATACTTGTATGGGGACACGTTTTTCATCGTAACATGCAGAAAATAAGTAGCAAAATATGAATATAAATTGATCCCACTGTCACTACTCCATGTGCATGGGGCTATTACAAAATTGATGCAAATAGCACAGGAGGAGGGGGAGGGGGATGCCAAGGACGGGGCAAAGCGGGTTGGTCTGGAAAGCGAGCTTGAATCGAGCGAAAAGCGGCGTGCGAAGCGGCTCAGGAGCCGCTTCGACGGACGACCTCAATTCGACGCGATTCAGCACGATTCAGCCCGAATCGTCGCTTCAGAACCCGAAACCGCGCCGCTTCGAGTTTCCGTTTCATTGTCTGAATCGCCATCAAAGCGAGTCCAAAACGCGTTCAAAGCGAACTTTGAACACCCCTATTATCAGAATAGCTCTTGAAGCGTGTGACAGGCACACCGATCAATGCGCCGACACCTGCCAACACACCTTGTATCGAGTACAGGATATCACGTGGGGATGTCTCCAGCATGAAATGGGGTGCAGTTCGTTCTACAAAAGGCGTGACCCAGGAAGTCGCCGTTCGCACATCAAGCCAATCTCTCCCTAAATCGCCGCCGTCTCCGGTTGCAGCCTGAATCCATGATGAGCGACCGGTTACCATATGTTGGCGAGCTGACGGCAGCACAGGTCGTCGCTGGGATTTTTCTCGTATGGCTGCTCGTCCACCACTTAAGCGCAAAGAACGTACGTCCTTGACTCCACTCCACGTCTCAGCCACGATACCATCAACTGCAGCTCCGCCATATCCCAACCGAAGGCGGACCTTCTTTGCCAATCCTATCTTTCATCGGGCTTCGCAACTTCCTTACTCGTGGAAGAGAGATCTTGCAGCGGGGTTATCAGAAGGTATCTTCGTCGAATCCTCCTATAGCGTGTATGCTCATTGTGTCATACTGTAGCACAAGGGCAGAACTTTCAAGGTCGCTATTGTGGATCGCTGGCTTGTTGTGCTCTCCGGTAAGAAGTTGGTCGATGAGCTGCAGAAGATGCCGGACGACACAGTGTCATCTGCTACAACAGAGGTGCGCGTCCTTCAGCGGGATTGACACGGAATTGACATAGTTGCATTCCTTTGTTCAACGCCAGCTTTTCGAGCAGCATCATGTATTCGACTCAAACTGGCACAGAGACCCCGTTCATGTGCCGGTACTGCGAAGTCTCACGCGCAATCTCACATTGGTGTTCAAAGACATGTTTGACGAGCTCAGCATAGCCTTCCAGGAGTACATTCCTGCGAACAGCGATCGTGAGTGGGAATAACCTGAGATATAGGAGTGCCAATATCGGCTGATATCTCTGCTAGGCTGGCTTACAGTCCATGCTAAGCCTGTCATGAGCACAATCGTCGCACGTGCTGCAAATCGCGTATTTGTCGGCATGCCCGTTTGTAGGTACCAATGCAGGCTTTGCAGAGAATTGGCTCACTGGTAGGCATTGCATTCAGGCCGGGACAGTGGCTATGTACACATGATGGTGCACTTCGAAGAGGACGTAAGCAAAGCCGTGGGGCTTCTCACAATGTTACCCGGCTTTATGAAGCGCATCGCCGGCAGGAACCTCACGAACATCGACAAACGCGTTCAACAGTGCCTCGATTACCTGCGGCCGGCCATTGACGACCGGATGACCATGATGACCAGGTTTGGGAAGGACTGGGCAGACAAGCCGGTGTGTTACCAATACTGTGGTGGCGCAGCTCTAGCTCGTTTCTGACTTAAGTATAGAATGATTTGTTGCAGTGGATTATCGACGAAGTCGTAGCTCGCGATCAAGGGCCAGAAGAGGTCGCGCGCATAGTGCTGTTCATCAACTCTGGGGCTATTGGAACGACCTCGGCTGTAAGTCTTCAGTATTGTAAGGCCGCAATAAGTAACCAGGTGTATTTCAGGCCATACTCCAAGCCTTGTACGACATTTCTATGCGTCCCGAGTTTGCCAACACGCTCCGGGAAGAGGTTGAGGCCGTTGTGGCTGAAGAAGGCTGGACGAAAGCTGCCACAAACAAGATGCGCAAGCTAGACAGCTTCCTGCGCGAATGCGAGCGACACAATAGCCCGACCGTCGGTGCGCGTTCCTCTCCCACTCGCTTCTCTCGCGGCTGACAGCTCGCAGTGTCGATGTTCCGCAATATCCTGCAACCGGTGACGCTCTCGGATGGGACGTTCCTTCCCAAGGGTGCGACGGTCGTCACGCCGACGTTTGCGACACACTTCGATGAGGAGAACTATCCGAACGCGACCCTGTTCGACCCGCTCCGGTCTTACAAGAGCGATAAGTCTGTGCAGCCGCAGCTGATCACCACGTCCGCGGACTACGTAACGTTTGGGCATGGCAAGCACGCTTGGTATGCTGTCCTACCCTATCGCACTCTCGTGCAGTAAGATTAACTGCCGCACGCACCAGCCCTGGCCGATTTTTCGCCTCCAACGAGCTTAAAGCTATGCTAGCATATATCGTCGTAAACTACGACGTCAAACCCGAGTACGAGGGCGTCCGCCCCAAAAACTTGCAGAGGGGCCTGGGCAATGACCCGAACGATACCGCACGGGTGCTGTTCAGGAGGAGGCAGGTCGATTAGAAGATGTAGGAGCGCTCCATGCATTGTGGCACGAAGTCGCCGATTTGGGACGGCGCTAGAAATGTTCAATTTCTCGCTATTTTCCGAGTCAGCTGTAAGTTAACGTTGACAACGGAGTGTTACAATAGTTACTTCCATCCTCCATGGATAATCGTTATTTCCAGCCGGCAAACAGACCACCTGCATGCTGCCGTGTACCTTGGGTCCCATCTTGCGGAGACTGAATCCGAGCGGACGCTTTGAGCTCACCCAATTTCGCTACCATAATCGAGACCTTATTTTACAGCCTCTCCTTTTTCTCTTGAAGCACCCGACTTGAGAAGAGATGATGATCAGCTCATTCTGCGCGAGAGGTGTGAGAAGGGCCGCCAACTTTATGGATCTCAGATCTTGTTGATCCCGATCACGGACCCCAACAAAGTTGGGTTAGGGCTCTCTGAAGAGTGCTCTGACCCTCATATAAAAGCAACTCACCAAGCGACATCTCAGAAAGGTGCACAGATGTCGGCTTCGCGAGACGAAAAGCCATCGGTAGCCCAGGCAAGATCCTACTACTTTGGAGCATCCTGAAGCTCACTTATCTCTCTTTGCTACCCGTCGCTTAGCAGATGCACCTCAACTGGGATGTTCTCATTGAGATTATGCTTGCTCTCAGTCGTGCGGATGCAAGCCGCATGTCGCGTACATGCTGAACCTTGCTACGCGCTGCTCCACCTATTCTGTTGAAAGACGAGGTGGTACTGTGGTCGATGACACGTTTACCCTCGTTCCATCGGTTCATATTCCGAGACAAGCACGAATGCTTTCGGTATCTCCGCCCTCTTACCCTGAAATTCGGATACCGCCCCACCATGGGGAAGGCGGTCTACTAGCCGACATCTTCACACATTCCACGAACCTCGAACATCTAGACTTCTCCACTAGCATATTACTAGATGCAGATGATCGCATTTCTCCCGCGTTGTCTGCCTTGAGGCAGCTGCATATCCTCAAACTCCTGAATCTGACTAAACACACAGTCGGCATGCTCAAGCAGATGCAGGCACCTCTCACAAAGGTCGTGGTTTCCCTCGTCCGCCGCGACGATCCCAGTAGACGGACGGACATGGACCCTGTTCCAATCTTCGCTCGTTTCAAGGACTCACTACGCGTTATGAGTGTCACTTTCCCGAATTTCGCTAGTACGGAGGTCCAGTACCCGCGCGTTGAGACCCTTAACGCCTTTCGTACCAATCGCGAGCTGAGACCCCTTTTACACTGCTTCCCTAACCTCAAGAACTGTTTAATCCTCGTGCATCCGCACGAGGTGTCACTGGATGATTGGCAGATAGAGGTGCAGCGTCGCTTCAACATAACTTTGCCTACTTCATGGTCGTCGTTCAACCGCCTCATTGGTGGCATAGAAACCTTATACATGCTCGCCGTGCGGTGCAAAGTGGACCATTTGAGCGTAACAGGACCCTTTGCATTCTCGACCGGAGCCCTTCGGAAGTTGACCTCTGTTCTCGACGACGCACGTCCTACATGGCTTACCCTCCAGATCAAGGTCAAAGAGAACGACCTGCCACCTCTGGGCCGTCGCTTATCTATCGCGGGAAGCTCAATATCTAAGATGCTGTTACGCCTGGACTTCTATGGCCCACGGTTTGCGGATCCTAGTCTCCACATCGTAAGTATTGTTTCGCGTCGATTTTTGCTGAAGTAAACTAACAATGTGGCGCTGAATCGTCTCATGTTCAGCGCACCCCCCAATCTCTCCATTCGCACTCTATATCTCAGTCTATACTGTAATCGTTTCCGGAACCCAGACATCGAAGAATACCTGCGATCTAGTTCTCCTGAGCTACCAGTCGAGGACATTGACCCCCACATCATCGCGGGAGATGCTATGCGCTACCTATCGACTGTCGAGCAAATTGGAATCGAGATTGGCCAAAAATCATACATCTACGATGTTCAGCGAAGGGTGCAACAGGCTTCGAGGAGTTGTGCCACACTTCCATCAGATATGGCGACGAATATAGTGCGCGAATCTGATCTTTATCAGGTATTATAGTGATTTAAATAAAGTGTATTTTATGTCCGATCTCATCCAAAAGTCATGCTGTCTTCATGGTGGTGCGTAGGTGCCTGACTCGTGCTAGACTACTGTTTCCATAATTTTATCTTCAGCGTAAGTTCGCTTAGCACACGAAAACACTGCGATGCCCCATTCAACCAGGACCTGCACAATATCAAACAGTCGTCCAATGGGATGCTCGAGCATCAAGCCATGAAACGCACGTCGTTTCGGTCGCATCAGTACATATAATTGCTGACCATCAGGTACGTCAAGAGACTCATATCACGGTAGCTTGGAGAAAGACGACAGATGTCCCTGCTGCGACGCAACGGACCGTCACTAGATGGCTCTTTCCAAGCGGAATCAGACCGCTTAAAAGTGTGAGTCGGCATTTTGTGGTACTGTGGGAGATTTCGGGCACTTACTGCTGCAGAGCCCCGGATTTCAACTCTGTTATATAGAATGACGCAGGCCCTCTCCCGCCCACCTCGTCATCGTTTTGTTGTGGACGTAACCATCTGTCACTGAGTGAGAGATTATCCTTGTGACACATCTTCTGAAGTTTTGAGTCAACATACACAGTAGGTGGGTACGTTATGCCGGCTTTCGTATGTAACACGTCATCTATTCTGCGTTGACAGTATCGCCTCCTCCAGCATATATCTACTACATAGACGTCTCGAGAAACGATGTGGACGCAGCGATCTAGTAGGAGAGAAAATCTTCCGCTAGATAAGTAGTCAGATTCGACGCTCTATCATATCCGCCGCCTCATGTTCCGAAGCTTATTGGTGGTTGCTGAGGGCCATCACGGGCATATTGCGCGTAGGCTGTCCCATGCTGGTACGTCTTTGTGGTTGTTCTAGGCTGATATTCAGTCCTGATTGCTTAAAATCTCAGTCGACCTGTTGAATCGTCCCTCAGCAATCAGCTCCCTTCGCAAACATCTTTCGGTAACAATATCTTCTCGGCTCGGCTCGTTCTCCATCCTCGCCATCCCCGTTCTTGCCTCCACTACTCCGACTGTTGCCGGCGCCGGCTCCCCAGGTGAAGCACCCACGCTCACGACGCCTGCTGCAATAGCCTCGAGACCGTATGTTCACAGGCTCTCCACACATGCATACCCGAGGTGCACTAGCTGATCCCTCTATAAAGGCTAGTAACATTCCAGGCATCCGATAAGCTTGCCCGAAACGGATGGCATCGTGCCCCAGAATCTCAACATCGTCATCGGTCTCGGCTGCAGCCCCATCACCGCCGCTGGGGTTGGTTCCGGTTCTGAGTGCAATAACGAAACCGAGTCCTGCTCTGATGGTGTCTTTGTAAGACAAGAACTCTCCTGTGCTTTTGCGGTTCTGACTAGACGCGAATTTTAGGGCAGCGTCGGCATCAGCTGCGCCCCTATCACTGCCTAAGGGCGTGTTACGATGAGTGGTGTGGTGCTCTCGTCATGTAGGAAGCATAGACAAGCGTAACAGTCGTCGATAATATATGTATGTATAAGTAGCGCGATGATCGTGTAGATTTTTGTGGATTAGATATTCCAGTAGCGAATTTTCAGCTTTGAGGCATTCCGTGGGTAAGCAGGATTGCGTATGTTTGCAAGCACAGAGCAACAAGTACGCTCTCAAGATGTATGCTACAAATACAAGGGGTATTGTATATTACAATACGGAAGGCTTATAATACTTTCTTACTGTATCAGAAAGCCCAACATCAGAGTACAACATGACGAAGCAGCGGCGAAGGGACCTAGTGCCACACCGTGGGGCTGTCGAAAGTGCGATCAGCATCGCGCATCGTACAAGGATGAGGAATGCGCTTACCCGAAGGTCCCGTTCGCGACCAGCAGCGGGAGCTTGTTGCCGTCCGCGTTGTTGACATGGACGTTGTTGCCCCACCACGCCTGGATCGTGTTCTTGCCGACCAGGCCCCGGTCTGGGAACTCCAGCGCGAAGAAGATGAGGATCGTCGACACCGCGACGCCAGAGTCGAGCGCTGCGGAGAGCACATCTGCAAGGGGAGTTCCGCCGCATCAGCGACACGCGCCTCGGCGGGAGAAAGCGAGAGCACGAGCGGGAACTTACAGTTGTACTTGGTCCACCACGAGAAGTGGCGGCGGCGGATGACGTAGTTGAAGATGAAGCCGACGATGGCCCAGCTGACGTAGTTGAGCGGCGTCGCGGGCGGGATGAGGCCCGTGCCGCTGAAGATGACGGGCCAGTTGAGGTACTTGAGGATCACGTTGTGGAACCGCTTCTGCAGGAGCCACTGTCAAATGCACAGGCGTCAGCGATCCCGCGTGCAAAGCAAAAGGCGCGCAGAACGTACGGTGCAGACCGGCGTCACAAAGCCGACGATGAAAAAGAAGAGGAGCGGGTAGTAGATTTGGCCCTGGGAGAACTGGCGCGCGGGCCCGATGAGGCCCCAGATGATGGATGCCGTACCGAAAACCTGCGTTGACGGGCACGTGAAGCCGTTGTCCTGGGTCGTGGAACACATATCCTGGATGTTGGTGAACATCCAGGCCTGCACGCCAAGTTGGACGGTACCCGCGACGATGGTCGCGATCAGCTGGCTCCAGAACATGGGGCGCGGTCTGGCGAGTACTGGGTTTCAATGTCGTGCATGCCACGCGAGAGCGAGACGATACTTACGGAACCTTCATGTAGTGACCAAGCTTGAAGTCCGAAGTGAATTGCAGCGCCTGGGCCATTGTGATGTATCCCCAGGTCTTGAACATCATCATCGCGATGGGACGACCAGGGAGAGCGTAGCCGATGATGAGCTCAGTAATGACATTCAGGCCCACCTGCTGGTTCGTGATGGCTTGGATCATGCCAATAGGAATGACATATATGAAGGAGATGATCTGCGGCCATGTTAGTCGGGACAGGTGACTACGCGAAGATAAGACGTACCAGACCAAGGATCAGGGCCCATACCGGCATATCGGTCGGCCATAGCTCGATGCAAAGCACGCCAAAGACGAACATCGAGACTACAGTCATCGTAAGCACGAGAATTTCCGTAAAGACGACAGCCACTCACCGAAGATACAGCCATACCACCATTCGGGAACTTGTGCGTACTTGGACATCAGCCGCGCGTGGATGTCGGGCTGCTCAGACATTGAGCGGCGAGCCTGGGTCCAGATCTGCTTGCGGTAGTAAAGGAAGGTGTGGGTGATGGTCGCGGTAATGGAGGCGAACGAGAGACCGTAGCTGATGGCGAACGTGGTCGGTAGGAACAGCGGCGAGTAGTGCTCATATGCCTCCTGGTTGAACTGCGTGTTGTTAATGATGATCCTGGTGACGTTGTAGATGGCACCGGTGTTGTCGAAGGAGTGGTCCGACGAGATGGGCATGTACTTCGCGTACCAGGTGTTGGTATAGTAAAGCACCGGGGTCAGGATCCCTACCCTCGTGTCAGTTGGGCTGTACACCTCGCAGTTGATGAGGCGGGCTTACAGAAGAACAGAACCATGCCGAAGGCGATGTTCGCCTCAGCCCACCATGGAGTGGCGAGTGGGGAACCGGTGTATGCAATCTGGGACCAGTCGAAAGAGATGACCGACATCGCAAGGCCAGAGACGGTGCCAAACAACTGGTTGACGGGAATGTTGTTCGGCGCGATCCAGCAGATCCAGTTGAAGTAGGAAAGGGCTTGGAACAAATATCCCGGAACAAAATACCAGCAGAACGAGCCCAGGAAGCAGTAGAAGAAGAAGCGCTCTCGTGAGAGACCGCCGCGGGTACCGACACCGGCATAGTACTGTGAGTGCAGCGTATTGAACAGAGCACAAGTCACAAGGTTGGCAGGCCAGATCATGGATGGCGGGTTCACCAAGAAGCGGCGAGCAATGCCACCAATGGAGAAGCCAATCTGCGTAGACGATCAGTGGATGCTAGCAACAGAAACGATTCGGGAAACATACGAGCTGTGTAGACATAACCAGCAACCACTGGTACGAGAAGTTGTAGGTCTGGTTATAGTACACCCGCTGTACCGCAATGATGTCGGTCTAACACACAGGCGGGGGATGAGTATCGCTGGCATTGGGCATGTGTAGCCGTAAAACACGTACTGCATATGCAGATTGGTAGCCTACACTGGCCATGATTGTGATCAGGACATGTTCCTTCACCGTGAAGGGACCGGGGTTGAGGGAGACACCAAAGATCTTGACCCCAGGGACGAAGCGTGCCCAGAGGCGCACAATAGGGAAGGTGATCAACTGGGCTACCACCTGTACACTGTCTGTGAGAGCGCGCTCATATGGGGTAAGACAGCACGAACTTACACCGGTGATGGTGACCGAGGGGAACCGGAAGAAGAAGAATTGGTTCAGACCGGGAATAATGATGGCCCAAATTATTCCAATGAACCAAGCCCTGAAGGTAGCGCAGGGCATATCCGGGTCGTCCGTATTCGCGACAGCAGAACGGACCTCGGGGTACGGAGAGTCATCCTCTGCGAAGCGTGGGTCAGAGCTGCTGTTTCTGACAGCGCGGGAAAGCGGGGCACACCGAGCAGCTCTACGTTTGGGTCGAGGTTGGGGTCCTCGAACTCGGCGATGGGCACCTGCTGCAGGTGGACCTCTTGCTCTTCGGGCGGCGGTGAGTGCTGAGCCAGACTTGGCGGGCGATGGACTTACTCTGCTTCTCAGCATCGGCGTCGTAACTCTCGATGTAAGGAGTCGACGACATTGTGGGACAGCGATGGGGCCGTGCGGCCTAGCAAGGTGGAAATACGCTCGCGTGCAGCATCTCGGGGCGGCGAAGTACTTATATCAGGCGACATCAACCGGGACGAGAGCCAAGACAGTCGGAAGACTTTGAAATGCGGTGAGTGGTAGCATGCGGCTCCTAGAAGTCCCATGCGGACAGCACTCTGGCATTTCTGATAGGCGACTCATTCATCCGTCCAAGTAGCCAATACCCGCGTCGGCGGGAGAAAAGCTCCCAGACGGGGGAATGTGGAGAAGCGGTCCGTGGGTGCTGGATCCGCTGCGGAGGAGCAGAGCAGCTCTAGTGAGGCGTCTCCAATGACGTGCAGTGGGAACGTCGCTAGCAGGAACGGAAGCACTTCCCTTTTGTTGAGAGACATTAATCATTTCCATGTCACATCGCCAGGTCAGATGGACTACTTAGCTAGAGTACTGCCACCTCGGATCCCATGTGGAAAGCGAAGATACCACGCATCCCCAACTGAGCTTGCCTCTCGGCGACTTGACTAGAACCACGGGGACCCTCATGCAACCGATGATTTAGAAGCGTTGCGGACCCTCTCCGCCTTCGCAAATGCAAGACTGTCCACGACGTCCCGAGTACTTGGACGCGGCTTTGTTCGATGCCGCGTGATGCCTGTGATTACTGCCGTCTGAACGTGCCGTGTGCTCTGCTCCGGTTATCATCACTCTGCCACATGCATGAAGATTTCATGGGCGCGGTTTCTCTCAAGCGCCTTATCCCGCTCTCGATCTGAGCGTACGGGCGCGGCAGTGATCAAACAGCTGCACTGTAGTGCCCAAGGTCGTTGTATCCCAAGGTGCTTTACACGCTGCACTGTCATGATATGTTCACGTAAGGTTTATCCCCAGGTTCTCACAGCGAGCTCAATGCATTGAGGCTTTTGTGGGGCAGAGCAGAAAACCACCTTCACTGCTGCATACGCCGGCTGATTATTCTGGGCGAAACAGGCTTTAAGCACCTCCACTGGCCAGGATCCTGGTAGGGTAGTTCATCCAGACAAACCAGGCACAGAGGTTATCAAAGATACCCTCAGTATGAATGGACCTCACTTCATTAGGCAGCACACGATAAGGCCGTGTGTTCACTATAGGCCTACTGCTGCTAGCTGCCGCCCGATAGGGATCGACAGCCAAAATCCCGGTCAGCTATCCTCAGCTCCCGACGACCGAGACATAACCACTCACGATATCTTACCGCTGTTAGCGGCGGAGATGTGTGTACACAGTTCTACCGTTCCTGGCGGGCAAACTGTTTATGGAGACCTTTTTGGCACCGCCCGTCCTCACCATACCTCGCTACTAGTTGTCGGAACGAAGGCAAACAGCAAAGAGTGCTTAGGCACAAAATTACACTCCAACACTGGATCCTGACTGGCTTCCAGGCCCCACTAGAGTCGGCATAGCCGTAAGCGTACCAGAAACTAGAGAGCCCCAGAATACAGTACCACCGTCACTACCCATAACTGCAAATGCTGAATACGCCTATTTGGCAATAGTGAGGTGCTCGTTGTCATGAATGCCGAGGTTGACTGTCGGTGAATATCTATCTCGACATTGATCACATTTGATTGGCCCGACTCTGCCCGCAGCAGCGCCACGGAGCCAGCGCTTGATTCTTTGTTCAAAGGCTAAGGTTAAGGTTACCAGTTTTGAGGGAAGCTGTCTCCAACCAAACAGCCACCTGAAGCTCCCCATCTCTGCATTGCCTGTATTGCAGGTTGTCTTGCCCATTGTCTACTTTGAGACGCCCGAAAAACTCTTGCTTGGCTTGAAACACTTGTTGTCGTTGCAACTTGGCGTCGATAACAGGCTCCTCCGCGTCGCGCTTCAGAACCACCCAGTGAATGATTCTGGAAGACGAGGAAGGTCCACCCAGAAAGCGTCAGAGGCACTCTCCGGAGCGACAGACTTCGTCATGTCGTCGAATCCTGCTCGAAGAGATCGACCTTGAAGTAGCGCTCCGAGAACGCTTGACGTCCACCGTGCAATCGAGGATCACCTGGGCACTGCTCTTGCAGGAGGCACTGGAGAAGGACGTGCGACATCCTGGTGCGTACACCTATCCTATAGGATATGCGAGACTCTGACATTCTCCAGGCCTTGATAGTACCGCAGAGTTTCGCACTGCCGCTCTGGACGCCCTGGAAGCTATCGAAGCACCTTGCCATCCCATCTTCTCTAGGGATGTATGCCTACCCTTACCACGACCTGCCCCAATCGCATCCATACCAGCACGTGAAGCGAATAGCGCGTTAGCAGCACCTCCTTCAGCCTACTCAACGCGGAGCCGGGGTGTGCCCCGTGCTGTCCGTCCTCCACCCCGCAAGCTCCTCTTCCTCCGCAACACCGCCTCGTATCCTCCCCAACTCGCGAAGCTGGCGTGCCCCGATTGCTCCAGAACGGACTTCTCGAGCCTCCAGGGGCTGCTCAATCACTGCCGCCTCAGCCACAGGCGCGAGTTCGGGAGCCACGACGAGTGCGTGCAGTGCTGCGCCGTGCTCGTCGAGCGCGCGGAGGACCAGGCGTGGGTCGTCGCGAACGGCACAGAGGTCGGCGGCATCACCATCCCCGGCCTCCGGCGCCTGTTTGAAATCGCCGTCGGGGGAGGACGCGAGGTACCCCTGCTGCCCACGAAGAAGGCCGAGCCGTTGTCGCAGGGTCCCTCGCCCGGCGATGCTACGCAGCCGGAAGGCCTACGGGTGACGTCGCGAGAGCCGTCCACACCGGTTTCGCGAGCCCTAGGTCACCACGCCGACAGCCCAGCACTCGCACCCTTCCTGGGCCGTGCTCCAAAACAACGTGTCGTTCACGCCCATGGCGAGGACCGGCCCGTGGACATCTTTGGGGACGAGGGCTCAACGCAGAAGAAGACGCGCTGGCGCATGCCCTATCCGCATCGTAACAAGGCACGTGCCGCACTCGATGAGGCTGTCGAGCCGCCTGCCCTGAGTGCAGACCAGATGTCGGAGCGTTCAGCACCCGCGAGCGAGACCGCTGTGCCGAATATGCCAGGCCCAGTGAGCCGTTTCCACATGATGGCGCGGGTGAGCGTGCGAGATATGAGTTTTTGGACACCTCCAAGTGAGTCGCATAGGTGCTTTACCTCGCTCTGATGCTCAACATGAAGTATCAGGTAAGCGCGATGCAGCGCAACCAGAGCACACCCATCGATGGCGACTGGCGGTATCGTCCCCAAGCTATGTGCGTCCCCCAAATGCTACCCCTAGACAAGCGATCTTGACCTCCGCGGCCTGTGTAGAGTCTACCTCTGAACACAATCCTCAAGAAGATGACCATACGGAGCGTGACCGACCCGCCTCCAACCACGTTGCTCGAGCCCATCACCCTCGACAAACCGCCCTTCGTCGTGACGAGCACAACAGATAAACCATTCTTGGCACGCATTACGTTCGAGTGGGTGGGCGCGGATGGGCAGAACCCACCTCTGGACGTGGAGCACTGGGTTGAGGTGCGCACACGCTCCGTGCGTCATGCACTTTGTGTTGATACTCCATGTTGTAGTTGGATCCACTACGGCGAAGCCATGCTGTACTCGGAGACGAGCAGGTGTTTGACGTTGGTCTTGATCGCTCGACTGAGCTGCTCCCCGTTCAAGATAAGCAGGAGCGAGAGGTCAGCTGGGAAATGGGTGGCGTTGTCCAGAGCTCCGACCTTGGTGCTCCGTCTGCATCCCAGCACCTCTTCCAGGAAGAGGTGGAGCCAGGTTTGTACTCATCCTGGCACGTATACCCGGCTCGGATTCTGACAGCCTCGCTAGATTATGCCGTCAGACTCAAGTCCTTGGTCCCTCAGTTCCCATTGACAATGAGGGGTGCGACATCCTTTGTGCTGATCAGACATTTACGTTCTTATCTTTGTCGGTATGGTTATGTATAGATGTCGGAAGCCGGTTGTCATCAAGACGGATCCCATACACCCTCGTTGCGACACCGGCACAGCTCCGGAACCTCATTGATGGACGTCGAAAAGCTATCGAGGTACGTGGCACGATGAAGTCCGCTGGCTATCTCTGACTCGCGGACTCCACAGTGGGGTCGTGCACTTGCATTGCGTCAGGCCTACGAGGAGCTATGTGCCTCGGAGCCATGGCCTGACGGCAGACTGGACATACCGCTCATCACAGGCGATGTTTTCCGATGGTTGGAAGATGAAGGGTTGTTCTTGCGACAAGCGCGGAAAGTGGTTCTAGACAACGGTACTGCAAGTTCGAAAGCGAAAAAACAGACGATCAAACCGGAGGAGGAGCGTTCTGCAGGAGAGTATTGCCGGCACTGTGGGCTCTATTACCTGAACCATCCAGCGCCACCGAGTCGCGATGACCACGAGCCAGCTGCTTTCGAGGCAGGTGACACGAAGCTAGAACCTACTGCGCCCGCCACCCCGCATGGCCCACTCGTTTCCTCGATGACATGTCCGCATTTCCACAACGAGGCCAAGGCTGCCGACCCGCCCGTCATAGATGTCAACCGGCTGCTGACGGCGCCGATCCCGCAAGTTGACAATCTGACAGGAGCAACATATGGTCTACATTCCTCACTTTTTGGCAGCGGTCTAGGTGGCGGACCCTATGGTGAAAACTTCTCTAGCGCATCTCCACGCGCGACTGCTCGTGATCTGCTGCGAGCGAGCGACCCCAAGCTCGTCCTCGCGATCCAGGACCTGGCCGCCAAATGGAAGTTGGACCGTCTCTGCATGCCCGCCGCCGACAGTCCGCCGTCGCTGCTGCACAGCGAACCCAAGGAAGCACGGGAAGGCGGGCTTGCCCCGGCCGCGCTGCTAGCGCTTGCTGCGCGGTCACTCGTGGGGACGCTGACGAAAAGTGCCGTGGCAGAGCTTCGGGGAGACGAAGAGGCCGGTCTGCGAGAGGTCTCGCTCCGCACGAGACCGCAGCGGGCAGAGCAGCAGCAACAGAGACCGCGGCTACTCACGCCGGCGCACGTCGCGAGGGGACTCGCGCGGGACGGCGCGACCGTGGCGGCGTGCGGTGCTATGTTGTTGGCCGTGGCGCCGCTAGGGATTGCACTGCCGCCCGTGAACGCTGACGGAGATGAAGGGGCCGCGCGCGCGCAGTGATAGTGATCTTCGCCCGGATTCCTCCATGTGTGCCCGCCCGGGGTGTGCGCTGGCGTGAGATGGTGCCTTTCCATTGGTCTGTCGATGGACCGACCACACGTGTCGTCTTCCTTTGAATAGCTCGGCTGTCGTCTACCATCGTATTTTCAGCGGGATATTCGCTTCGCGAGTCCAGGATAGCCGTCCATTTACGTTGTGTACGCGCCGGTAAGCAGTGGTGTCTCGAAGAAATATAAGGTGCGGCGACGAGGATGGCGGAAGAGTTGTTGAGCCTCGGTACCTAATGTGCCCTGAGATCTGCTTCCTGATAGGCTTTGATGACTAAAATTGCTTACCTTTCTGGGTATGAGCAGCTCTGGGCAAGGACAGCCGGCGAAAGTTTCTCCGCGACAATTGGCTTGGTGCGAGTGCGCGCAGGACGATGGCCTTGACCGTGGTTCTCACTCTGCATCATCCCCATGTCCATTTACCAGGACTAGTCGCTCCCTCTTCGTTCCTTTCTCCTGTTTTCTCTCTGCCCAGACACTGGCCGCTCCGAACTAAGGTCGCCGGTGCCTCAGAGAACCTCCCTCACGCTCGTTTGTTGTTCCCCCGCCTTCGTTTTCGTACAGGATGTCCGGCCCCTCTACGATCAACGCTGCCTCCGCCTCGGTCCTCGATTCTGCCCTGGCCGTCAGCAAGGACAGTACGTACGGTGCCGCCTTTGTCGGGATGGCGGCTTCCTCTGCGTGCGTTCCGATCAGCTCTTGTTCGCTTTGGTATATTCACTCGCGCTTCGCAGACTATTTGGTATCGTGTGCTCGCAAATGTTCACGTACTTAAGGCGATATCCCCTCGACCGTCCCTTCTACAAGATACTGGTGCGCCATGTTCGTCCCGCGCTATATCTGATTGGCTTATCGCGCATCCCTAGGTTGCCTTGCTGTGGTGCGTTGGCTTCACCGCCGGTCGCGAGTTGGGGGATGCTGAGTGACGCGCACAGGCTCATCGAGGCGGTGGACCAAGCGTTCATCGCACATGCAGCGTACTACTACACAGTCAGGTGTGTGGCGTTTTGGACGCGCTCCGGACATCATCTCATGGTCCTAAAGCAACTGGGGTAACCCTGTCGTCCTGATCGCTGCGCCAGTATGGTTCGTATTCATATTTTTCCTTGCCCGACACTCTGTTAATCCCCCGTATAGGTCGCTCGTTGTAAGTCGCTTACGCTATGAACTACGCACTAAACTTCACGACCGCGATCAGGTCCAAGTCCTCCTCGGCGCAGTTGCAGGGGCTATCGTCAAGATGTTCGTAATCTCTCTGTGATGGCTGAACAATTCAATTTCTCATGGATGTTCTCGCAGATGTTTCGCCATGCGCGTCTGGCGATGTAAGAACCTCCGAACAGACGCACTCGGGTAGAAGCTGATCGTTTCTCGCACAGTTAGCGGCGGTAACCGTCCTGTCACTGGGATGATTGTGAGTGAAGGCGAGCGAACCCTGACTTAGCCCTTGCTGATGGTATTTATAGCTCGCCTTAGCTGTCGCCCAATTGGCAGCGGCGTGTGGTGCGTACTGCTGTCTCCTTGAGAAAGTGTTGTAATTGATGGCGATGGCCTTGAAAGTGTACACCGAGAGAGGGTGAGTATTTCCGGCTCGGAATGGGCAACGCGATGACTGAGCTTCTTCGGCAGGCTTAAGATAGCAAGTCTCCTTGAGATAGACAGCTTGAAAGTAGTCGGCAGTCTGTCACTCGGCCTTGGAATGGCCACCGATATTGTTACCGCCGCATCCCTTTGCTGGTTCCTGCAGGGGCTGCGAACGGGATACTCCAAGTAAGTGGTGTTATCATTGAGCCCAGTTGCACAGACGCTCATGTTTCACAGAGATGACTCACTGGTCAACACGCTAAGCTTGTATGCTGTCAATACCGGCGTTCTAACAAGCGCCGTCAGTTTATCTACTATGATTCTGGTATGTCTCTTCGATGCATTGGAGATGCGGCTGACGCTGATACTCTCTTCAGTACAACATCATGCCAAGCAACTTCATTTTCATAGCACTCTATTTTGTTCTCAGCAAACGTAAGGGATCACGCAAATCCTGTACCAAAATGCCCTACTGACACTGTTAAAGTGTATGTGAATTCATTCTTGGCTACGCTCAACACCCGACGAGTACTTCGTGGGCGCGGGACTGACGCCGAGACAAACACGATGCCGACGTTCCTCATGGTCGGCAAGCTCACTAGGCACGAAAACCACCCGGATACCATGCACCACGCCTATCCGCCATCGGCGGCACACTCATGGACGTCACGCTCTAAGCAGGACCTACTGCGCTCGCAAACCAGTGCGCTTGAGGTCGAAATCGAGCAGGAGGTGACCGTCACGCGCGACTCGGTGAGTAGGATCGGTCTAGTCTTGGACTTCATAGGCTTATTGCATGGACTAATACCAGGTTCGATATGGTGTCGCAGTATAAGTCGTACGACGAGTTTAAAGCGTCGCGCTACACCTGATCGGCAGCTGCCAGTTCACCCCACTGCGCAGTCTCGCAGCGCGCAGTCAAGGGGAATACCTAATTGTCACGGAATTCCGTACCGCATTCCACGTTATAACTCGTCCCTGTTCTGCTACTGATCGCGCGGCGCACGCGACCTTTTCGTTGGTATTAATGCATTCCTAGGACCCCTCCTTCCCGCCGGTTCCGCCTTTCACACCGGGATACATCTCTCTGTTATCTGTGCGCGCGTGCGCATAATCGTTTGTGCTATCGGTCACCTTCTTTTAGCGCATCGTTCTATTCGCTTTTGTTCGTTTCTTGCTTTCGTTGTTGTCGTTGTGTACCCGATAGTTATGTTGGTTATTTTGTTTCTCGAAAAGTCGCCTTCAGTGAAGGCTTTACATGGTTTTACGCCGTAGAGATGAAGTGTATTTTTCTGTAGTCTACCTTGAATATAAAGGAATCCTCAAGCTTTCAGTGCAGGCCAGCAGAAGAGGGGCATGCCGCTCGCGATGGCTGTGCCTAGCGCAAACGAGGCGCTTATCGTGCGAACTCGTCTGCATTGACACTGCCACCGTCAAGGGACGGATTGATACTGTAAGGGCGAGGCTGGGCGATATAGCCTCTACTCAAATGCAATTCATGGACAAAATTACTGCACGTGCTCACAGGCGACATATACGCAGCAAAGCGGTTCCTCTTCCTCCTTAACTACCACCAGCGACCCCCACACCCCTCCTGACGGCGGACGCTGTGCACTGCGATACAAAAGCAAGGGCCACGGAGACTTAGCACAGGTTGCTCCCGACTCGACTGCGCAATCAGCCTTGTATAAAGAGCCGCAGGCGCTACTTGTCAACCGCTACAGAGATATCTTTTCAAGGACACCAGCCATGATTCAGCTCGAGGAGAAGACCGCGCCGCCGCCTGCATACGCCGATACTCTTGGGGCACAACCTGTGCTGCCGGCAGCCACGGGGCAGAGTGCATATGCGCCGTCTGCCGCACAGAGTCCACGAGGGTACCCGCCCATGAGCCCGCCTGGCAGCGGTGCGCCGATGATGAAAGTGCAGCCGACGCCAGGGCAAGCGGAGGCGCAGGTCGGGGCTCAGTATCAGCAACAGCGTGCGTTCGCTTCTTTGGCCTTCGTTGAGACGCGGCTAATCTATGAACAGTGCTTGCGAGGTGTGCGCGTGGAGACCACGATAGGAAGAGAAAGTATGGGGCCTGTGGGATCATCACTGCCGTGCTGCTCTTCCCAATAGGCTTGATTTGTTTGTTGTGAGTAGCTTTCAGCTGATTCTTTGAGCGTGCACCCTCACACATCTGCATAGTACGGATTCAGAAGAGAGATGTGTTCGCTGCGGGCAAAAGATGTAATCAATTCGCCGTAGCCTATTTTATTCCCTGTTTGTTCTCCGTATTGCTTCACTGCTATTTCTCCTGTTGAAGGTTTAGGTTATACATGTACATAAGCGTTGTTCGCATAATAACAGGCCTCCAAGATAACGGAGCCTCTTCTCGCTCCTGCTCGCCGGCTGCCCACAAAGGAGGCAGTTGCCAGACCGTTTGCAGATAATGTGCACGTGATGCGCTTGTTCGGCAATAGATCGAGCGTCCAGCTTGGACTCTTGGAGGACGCCGCTCTGCCTAATCAACCAAGCCAGACTTATTCGCAATCCACTATCATTCCTCATTTACGATGAAGGTTGCAGTAGTCGGCTCGGGTGTCTCAGGACTGGCAGCGACTTGGGTGTGTCCATTTGTCCTCGGTGGACTGCACAGTGCTGATTGTATGCACGATATCCAGCTGCTGAACGAACACAGCGACCACGAGGTCCATCTATTTGAAGCGGACACACGCGTTGGTGGACATGCCAACACTGTGAGCTTCGAGCAACCAGGTGCGAAGGGGGCCCCAGGTGTGGATGTCGATACGTGAGTGCTCAGCCACCATTTCCCGCGCACCCTCTGACCTGAACAATGCTCAGAGGCTTTGTAAGCAGCGTTCTACTCCGTCAATCTGCGCGAGTCTCGACACTTACTCCCTCCAGATTGTCTTCAACCCCTCCACCTACCCCAACTTCCTACGGTTCCTCCATCTCTACCCGGAGCTGAAAGCTGCAGTGCAGCCGACGGACATGACATTCAGTGTATCGCGCGATGACGGTGTATTTGAGTGGGCAGGCAAGGGCCTCGGCTCGTTGTTTTGCCAGTCGATGCGCGTGTTTGACCGGAGCATGTGGAGTATGATATACGATATCTTCAGGTTCAACGCATGCGCGCCGAGACGTTTTGGAGAAGAGAAGGGGGAAGAGCTGTCCATTGGGGAGTACCTCAAGAAGGAGGGATACTCAGATTCGTTCAAGGACAATTACTTGATCGTGAGTGCGTTCCGCTACCACTAGGCAACGACTAACGAACTATTCTGCAGCCTATGACTGCAGCGATATGGAGTACACCACCAGATATTTGTGCGCTCGACTTCCCAGTTCGAACACTGGTACGCCTTACGGGTCAATTCCTGCATGAACTACGGCGAAGCTGACTATATGCGTCTAGGTTCAATTCATGAGCAACCACAATCTGCTACAAATCACTGGCAAACCGTCCTGGCTTACGCTCCGCGGTGGCAGGTCCGCGCTGTTTCTTCATTGTTCTTCACTATCACTATTGACATATTCATAGTCGAGTGTACGTCGATAGAATTGTCTCTTCCCTTCCCCCGTCCCACCTGCATCTCGCCTCGCCCGTCCGCGCTGTATCAACCTTTCCGACGACTACGCCGTCCCCACGAACCTCCAAAGCAAAGCACGAAGTACATCTACAGCTCGCAAGCGGCGTCGTGGAGGTTTTTGACCATATCATCCTCGCCTGTCATGCTGACTCCGCCCTTGAGATCTTGCACCAAGGTAAGTCAGTCGGTGGGCCAAGCGATGAGGAGCAGAGGGTATTAGAGATGTTCAAATTCAACCAGAACGAAGTAGTACTGCATTCAGACGTCAGGGTACGTATCTACCAGTCAAACTGGCGGGTATGATCTGAATATTTGCAGCTGATGCCGAAGAAAAGGGCAGCTTGGAGCTGCTGGAATTACTTGACTTACTCAGAGGTCGATAATGAGACGGGCAAGAGTAAGGCAAACGTCAACAAGGTTGCCTTGTAAGTCATCAATTGTCTGAGTGCCTCTCCGATTGCCCTGATGCTTAGTCGCTGCGACAGAACATGTGAGATCATCAGGAGCGTATTGCATGAGCAGAACTGACTCCTTTTCAGACTGGATGAACGACCTGCAGCACATCTCTGAGAAGAAACATGGTCCAGTCTTTGTAACATTGAACCCGCCATTCGAACCTGCGCCGGACAAAGTCGTCGCGAAGTTCAAATACGAACACCCGGTTGTGGACTCACGGGTGCGTTCATCGAAAGCACCCATGACGTACGGTTATTGAGCATAAAATGCACAGGCGGTTACAGCGCAGCGTCTCATATCCTCGATTCAGAACGTTCGAGGTATCAGCTACGCAGGCGCTTGGCTCAAGTATGGATTCCACGAGGACGGCTTCACGACTGGTCTTCGGGCTGCTCTAGCTCTACAAGGTTTGCTCATAATATCTAGCGTGCTATGTATCGTGATGAACTCCCTGTGCAGAACACACGCCGAACGGGGACGCCATCCGTTGTCCGTTCGACGTTCGGGACGCGGAACATGAGCCAAGGACGAATACGTTCGCAGTGTTGTTCTTTGGCGTGCTTGAACAAACGGGTACTAGAGTGGGTTTAGGGCATGTGTTAGGTTTTCTGTTGGATGTGCTGAGTGCACTGTTGTATGTGATGTTCAGCAGCATATCATGAGTGCTCTGCTGCGCATGATGGTTCGTAGATGGAAACTAGATTGAGTTGCAGGTGCGCGAAAATTTTCTTCAGGAGGGCGCGGTATGCCCGTTCGTTTCATGTACCCGAATGTCCAGACTCACATCGTCCCCTACATTTTGTAGAGAAAAAGTACGGCTACCATCCGATGTGAATTTCTTCATGTGCTGCGACGTGAGCACTTGATTCGGAGCAGCTTTCTTTCCTTCGACGTCCATCAGATGAAGCTGATACGTTCACAGACGATCATTGCGTAGGAACTGTTGCGTATGAATTTGACACCTGTGGAGCAAGCACAGATTAATTGTAAGTTGCCTGCATGTATATATAACGCGAAGCACCTGGGAAGATCCGGTTATTCTCCCCAGATAATCGGTCGATAACCTGAGTAACATTCCGGCAAGCAAAGTTTGGAATGGGAGCTGATATCGTTCGAAGCCGTCCGCCGAGCCCGGTTTTGAGATAGTATCAGGTCGCGCACACTGCCACACAGCATTAGTGCTACGAGAGGGTGACCTGTGCTACGCACAGGCAGAGAGAAGTGAGAAGAGAGCTGAGAAGAGAAATCGAATGAGAACGCGCCGCCCGCCGCCAACCTTCGGTTGGCTGGGCGTGCAGCGCCCCCTGAGAGGGATCACTGGCCAATTTGGCCAATAAGTGCTGTCTCGGGGCTTTGACGCCCGAGGTGTTTTAGTATATTAGATTTGTCACACGCGTCGAAGAAACAACGTTCGTTAACGCTAACACTTCCTTGATTAAGAGATGGATGAAGTCACTTCTAGCTGGACATCATGTATAGTAGCTGCTGAGCGCTGAGCTCGCAAGGCTTTCTCCTTCGGGTCACCGACGATCTATACATGGCTATCTTAGGTTCTCACCGCCTTTCGGATTTTGTTCTTACTAACGCGCACAGCAACGACTCCCCTTGTACAAAGCTCTCTACATTGTGCCTCGAGCTAACCAGTGATAATGCTCAGGGACAGATGATACTAAGCGCTGCCACATGCCACTGCACAGCGGCTGTACACTGATAGCACTGCGGTCAAGGATGTCAAGATATCAAGTCATTTGTCGAAGATCTATATCGGCAGTCTAGACTCAAATAGCAAGTAAAATACGATCATTTGCGCAACTCTGCTATCTCTCCCCAGGAGAAGAATACCGTACTTCTTCAACTCAGCGGTCACGCGTCACACTGGTCCTCCGCTGACCCGTCCAAATCATTTTTTCTCGACTTATGGCGATTTATTGGAGTTGTCGGACAAATCAATTTTGGGCGCTTCCAGCCAGCCAGGCCAAAAAAGTAAAGTACATAAGGTAAGGGGATTCGCCGCTGTGAGCAAGCAACCTACGCTATTTCCCATCATCAGCAATGTCTGACTTGGCTCTATTCAAAGGAGATATCATCACACCCGACGATGAGGACTACGAACATGCAATCACGCGTTGGGCAGTCAACGCCATCCGCCGCGCGCGCATCGTCGCGTACGTCCGCGACGCCGAGGATGTCTCGACGGCCCTCCGATACGCGCAGGCGAACGGCCTCAAGATAGCCATCCACGGCGGCGGTCACAGCCCCAACGGCGCGTCGTCCGCCGAAGGCGGACTTGTCATCGACCTCGGTCGCTACTTGAACGACGTCAGGGTCGATCCAGAGGCTCGTATCGCCTACGTCGGCGGAGGCGCGAAGTGGGCCGACGTGGACAGGGCCACCATGGCGCACGGCCTTGCCATGACAGGCGGAACAGTCAGCCACGTAAGTCAGTCGATATTCTTCACATGTGCTCTCGCCTTCACGACGGCTCCCAGACTGGCGTTGGCGGGTAAGAAGCTCTTAGTTCCGGGGACAGTTGTTGTGCTAAAACAATCCCAGACTTACTCTCGGAGGTGGCTATGGCTGGCTCGCCCCAATGCATGGTCTCACTATCGACCATCTGATCTCTGCGAACATCGTGTCGGCGGATGGTGTCACTCGCACTGCCAGCAAAACTGAAAATCCTGACCTGTTCTGGGGCATTCGCGGAGGCGGCTGCAACTTCGGCATCGTCACCGAGTTTGTCTTTCGACTTCATCCTCAGCGCCGCACAGTATTCGGCGGTGCCGTGATGTTCTCCCCGGACAAATTAGAGGCCATTGCCCAGCTTATCGAGAAATGGTACCCTACCGCCGGAGAGAAGGAGGGTGTGCATGTTATGTTGGGGCGTGGATCTGGTGGTGATGTAAGACCATGACAGCTTGCGGCCGTGCGTTCTCTGCTGAGATACTATGTGCATCGCTAGCCGAACATCATGCTCCTCATGTTTTATAATGGGTCGGAAGCTGAAGGACGGGAGAATTTCAAGGCATTCACGGATCTAGGTGAGCCGGTAATTACTCTGCGCTGAAAAAATGAATAATCTGGATGTGATGACGAAGGGCCCGTTATGGACATCCGTCGGGAGATGCCCTATGAAGCATTTAATTCGCTCATGGTG